CCTTTATACTTAAAATCATACTCTTCACATGAACAAATACATAAAATATCCTCTTAAACAAAAACAAAACACACATAAGGATATTTATATACAGTAAACAAACACAACAACACTACCAATCCGCCTCTGATCCACACCTGACCTACGAGATCCACTTGTGTCGAGGTAACTTAATATATCACTCCCATGCAAAGTTTGTTTCACCAAATAAGAGTAGTTGGATCACGTGAAGATTAGACACCCCAGCTTATTGTACCTGATAATGAAAAACACCTTAACACTACCTAGGGGAGAGGGGTGTTAGGTCAGGTCAGGTCAGGTCAAGTGAAATAAGGTCAACAGTGTAGCTAAAAGTAACATAAGGCGACGTAATGACATGTATACATCGTGAAGGACAAATAGTGAAGTAGTGATGATGTGTCACAGGTCCAGGCTAGGTCGAGATGATCCACTTAAGTCAGGCTAATTTAATATCCTGCCTGGCCCCAGCTAACTATATTAGTCAAGTTCCTCACTTTAACCTAAAACTAACTCAATAGAACGATCGGTCAACACACCTGCCCGAGACGACGACGACAACAACAACAACAACAACAACAACAACAACGACAACGACGACAACAACAACAACAACAACAACAACAACAACAATAATAATAAACAATAATAACGATAATAATAATAATAATAATAATAATAATAATAATAATAATAATAAACAATAATAATAAACAATAATAATAATAATAATAATAATAATAATAATAATAATAATAATAATAATAATAATCAATAATAATAATAATAATAATAATAATAATAATAAACAATAATAATAAACACTAATAATAAACAATCATAATACAACAACTGAACGTACACTAGTCATACTCAAAGTACCAATGCCATAATATTTCGCACATGAAAAAGTTATAGAAGAATATATTCCCTTGAGGAGCATAGCCATTTACAGCTCCTGCCTGCCTCCATGCCGTGCTATACAATGCTATACTGTATATGACCACACCTACTAGCAGATGACCACGCCTACTAGCAGATGACCACGCCTACTAGCAGATGACCACGCCTACTAGCAGATGACCACGCCTACTAGCAGATAACCATACATACTAGCAGATGGCCACGTCTATTATCAGATGACCATACATACCACTATATAACTTTACTTACTAGCACATGACCTTCTAGCATCCGATCTAGGGGACTGAGTGAACCAACATTACCTTCTAACATTGAGACAAGATGTAACGTGAGCAAACTATATACAGGTCACAGCGATTCTCTCTCTCTCTCTCTCTCTCTCTCCAGAACATCCAACTATTTCTGAACTTTAAATTCCTCACATTACCAGCGAGCACAGGATGGCCTTACCGTGGTTCCGAGCACTTAACTTTTCTTCCTTTACTGACATGACTGATTCTAGTGGCCAGTTTACACCAGCGTGAGGGAACAATCCAGAGAGAATCCTAACTTAACCTAACCTGCCTGCCTACCTAACGTATCTAACATGTCTACCTAATCTAACCTAATCTAACCTAACCTACCTTACTTAACTTAACAGTAAACAAAGTGTACAGTAAGTATATTAATAAACTCTTACCATAGTATTATTAATAACATGAAAAGTGATCTGTGTATAATATTCTCACGACAGCGAGAGTTACACCTGCTCATACAACACCCAAATCAACACCAAATTATACACGAAAATTCCACTTGAATCAATTTTCATGACATGCAAATTGTCAATCATCTTTTCGGTAAGGTTACATCAGCTCAATGACCTCATTACCATAAATTATGCTAATTAAGACCAAAAATCCTACGGTTTTCCACGTCATTTTGGACATTAGATTGAGAAATATCATATTTAACTTGTGTAAAAGTGTGGACGTTATTTAAAAAAAAAATCTCTTTGTCCGTTTGATGGTGACGGGGTTAACACAGTCTCTGGAACGAGGTAATATGAGGTAATGAAAGTGGAGTAAATTGGTTCAATGTTGATATAGAGGCTGTAAACACAAGCTGAGTACAGTAATCTAAGTGTGCCAGGCAGTCTCTCACAACGGGAGGAGGGCAGATATTGGGAGGGAGAGAGAGAGAGATGAAGCAAAACGCAACCAGTCTAAACAAATGATATATTCTTAATTAAACCAAATATAAATATTAACGTACAATATAACTATAATATAACACAAAGTCAGCCAAAATATATTATTACTGAGATACTGGGGGTGATATAGATTCATTTCTTTAATTAAACTATTTCACCCGTTTTCTATTTCAACCTAACGTAGAAAATAGGATTGGTCGATTTTTCTTCCCTATTTAAGCTACGTTTTTTCTAGTTTTTATTTTAATATTTTTAGCTTTTATATATATTTTTAATTCCCGGTTGAACAAAAAAATAAGCTGGTACAGGTATATATCTAAATGTGAGAGGGTGAAGAAAAAGCTTTGACGAAATGGTTTATTCTCAAGCTTGGCTATGTTGTGTTAAAGCTTAGTTGTTACGTGTTGAATCTTTAATTATTCTATGTTGTATGTTGAAGCTTAATTATACGTTGAAGCTTATGTGTTAAAGTTTAATTATACGCTGAAGCTTATTTATGTTAGTTTGAAGCTTAATTGTTACATTTTGAAGCTTAATTATGTTCCATGTTAACACTTAATTATACGCTGCAGCTTAATTATGTGTTGAAGTTTAATTATATTACAGTCTAAAGCTTAATCTATACGTTTGAAGCTTAATTATCTTACATATTAAATCATTAATTATGCTATAATCTTACACTGAACCATTGCTATGTTCTGTATTGAAGCTTATCCAAATTACGTATCCAAGCTTCATAAACTAAGCTTTCTCACTCACAGGACAAACACTCCATTGTATGTACGTTTGTATTTCCATAACAACGCTATAATTATTCTGTTGTGGACTAATTGTTTTTTTTTTTTTTTACGTCAAGAAAAACTTTATAATATGGCCGCTGGTGTGGGATTGATAACTGATGAAGAAAAATGTATATAGTTTGGTTCATTCGGATCAAAGTTTAGATAAAAGTGAAGATTTTGGTCTGTATGATCCGATAAAGGAAGAAATACGTGAATACTTTTTTTGGTTTGTTTCTTTCAAAAAATAAAAATAAAATAAATAAACACTCCTCAACCTTGAACTAGCACATGGATACAGACACATTATTATTTTGGTGTTATGTTGCGTCCGTTGCGTCCGTTGCGTCATATAAATAAAAAATTAAAGATATAGAAAAACCAATAATAGAATGCCAAGGTGAAGTGGGTGAAGCAGCCAGGAAGGATAACATCATGAGGGCGGAAAATCTGTGTGTGTGTGTGTGTGTGTGTGTGTGTGTGTGTGTGTGTTGCAGGTAGCCATCGGCCACTACCTGCAGCACTTCCGGATTGTATTGTGGCAGAGTGGCTGGTGGGGCAGAGTGGCTGGTGGGGCAGAGTGGCTGGTGGGGCTGAGTGGTCGCGGGGCTGAGTGGTCGCGGGGCATCAACCAATTTAATTTTAAGAATCTTGATTTATGTGGAATATTTTCTCTTGCCGAGCGTCATCCTTCTAGACCCTTATTACAAAAAACTTTATCATAATTACTACTTTTTTTTTAGAATTATACTGTATGTTTAGCTATAATGTCTATATTTTTTTCTAACATAACATTAACAAATACGACATAAACCTCCTTCGTTAATTTCGTTCATCAGCTTCTAACATAAAAATTTAACATCGTCAGCTAATTTACATTCCCACCACACATGACCTACTACAAGCTAAAACCAACCATGACGAACCTAAACCCAACCTAAACCCAACGTCAACAAACAAACCCCTTTATAAAACCAGAGAATTCTATATTATCCTATTTTTTTTTTACACATTAATACCTCAAGTGTGTTTTTTTCCCTCAGTCAAGCGTCTAAGTGGAGGAGTTTGTGCCCGCAGCTCGTGTTAGTTTGTACAAAGGAGAAAAAAACACCCCACCAAGGATGCTGTAATAATTTTTAAAATAATTTAATGAATATATTTTAAAGATTTTTTTCAACGAGTATATTTTAACATAGGTCGTCAGGACAAAAAATTTCTTTCTTTGCCACTAGATACACTCTGGCTACACACACACACTGGCTACACACACTGGCTACACTCTATCCATCAGGGAGAGGAAAAAAACAAACATTACACGATCAAAACTTCACAACAATCACCAATGTTCAACCACACTAGCGAGAAAAACAAAAACATTTCCTTTACAAAAAAAATAAATAAAAATAAAAAAAATCGACTCTCCGCGAGGCTAAATTTTTTTTCTGGGTTTTAAGTCATTATATTTTGTTTTCTGGTTGTGTACTTTTGGGTTGGGTTGGGTTGGGTTGGGTTAGGTTGGGTTTGGAGTGAAGGGGGTTATTTTGGTCACTCTACAAACATGGGCACTGTAACTGAATTTATATAATCTACCTGTGTATCTAACCTGGTTCTTTATATCTGAGCCAGTTAGTGAAACATGACTCATTTAGGTTCTACACTACCTCTCTCCACCAGGGACACATAGGTGACTCAACACACCAGGGAGGACACATAGGTGACTCAACACACCAGGGAGGACACATAGGTGACTCAACACACCAGGCATAAGAAAGGTCATCATCCTGAGTCGTCCAATAAACAGTGAGGCATAACTGAAGTATATATGCAGGTCAACACGACACACACCACAACATACAACACCACATCCTGTCCCACATCACCACACCACACACTATATCCCACACCACCACCCCACTTCACCCCTTCACCACACCACCCCACTTCACCCTTCACACCACCCCCCACTTCACCACACCACCTCCCCTTCACCCCACCACCTCCCACCACCCCCACTTCACCCCACCACCCCCCCACTTCACCCCACTTCACCCCACCTCAACATAAACAAAGACAACAACAACACTTACCTTTTGTAACACGGATTCAGTTAATTTCTCTCTGTTGATAATTTTAATCGCTACTCTCTTCCCGGACACACACTGCACCCCGAGCTTCACCAGACCTGCGGGAGGAGGAACGGGAGGAAAAAAGTTAAAATCTGATATTGAAACAGTTTATTTATACATAAAATACATATAAAGTAAACAACAACAGCAACATTGACGCAGGTGAAGTAATTAGCACACCTTTGTACTCTACACACCTGTGCAATAACCAAGGCTGCAGTAGATAATGAGTAAGTAATGATCATAATTATAACCTAAGATGATATTAATACCACACTTAGACTTTTAGTAAATATAAGTGGTATATGAGAACAAATGTATTCAAATTACAACCAATCAATAAGGTTAAATGTACCGTATAATCTCCCATAACTGCTACTTAATCCTGGGAAAAAAATATTATATAATTAGTCTCTACGTATTTTTTTTTAACGCCGTGACTGAGAAAAATAAAGAGATAGACGGGAAACTTATAGACGTGAGATGATGTGATGACGCCAGGATTACCATACAGATGACGTAGGAGGAGGGGACGGCCACACAACGCCATCTATTGAGTAAATTCCTGACCATGTTGAGAGCTGCCTGCCTGGGTTATGACTCCCACTGGCAACTAAGTCACTTTTGATCACCTCTGTATATTGATTGACGAGATTTAATAATACAAATAATAATAATAATAATAATAATAATATTAGGGTAAACTAAAGACGTGAGATACAAATTGAAGAATCGGTGTTGACCCGTGTGGACTTAACACCCATACCAGCTGACCCACTGACACCATCACTGCCATTACCACCACCACTGCTGCCATCATCACTATCACCATCCTCAACGCTACCACCAACACCACACCATCACCACCACCGAGTCGCTGCTGGAGGTAGGGAGGACGGCTTTAGGAAGAGGGAGCAACAAGCTGGTTGATAATTACTTTTACATATATCCATTGGTAAGCATCTACTCTCTCTCTCTCTCTCTCTCTCTCTCTCTCTCTCTCTCTCTCTCTCTCTCTCTCTCTCTCTCTCTCTCTAATGCCTAACCCATATACACCAATTCTAACTCCTTACCTCCACACCCTCCCCCTGCCACACCCTTTTACCTCCCCATCTTTCACTACCACACCCCCTTCCTTGCCACACCCTCTCAACTCAACATTCCTCCCTACTTACAATCCCCTTCCCTTTTCTCCCTTCATAACCTCCTTCCATGTCCCATCTCTCCTTCTTCCCTAACCCCCCTCCCCCTTAGCAACCCCTCCTTTCCTTCTCCCTCCTTAATCCCCCTCCATCAATTCACCACACACACACACACACACACACACACCTCACGGACACGATATCAAATTACTCTTCTCATATTCTTGACAAATTGCAATCGCAGCAACGTTATTGTCAAAGCATAAATGGTGGTAGTAGTAGTAGTGGTGGTAGTAGTAGTGGTGGTAGTAGTAGTAGTAGTGGTGGTGGTGGTGTAGTGAGGTGGTGGTGGTGGTGGTGGTGGTAGTAGTAGTAGTAGTAGTAGTGGTGGTAGTGAGAGCTGTGGCGGCAGTATTGATCACCTGGACGTATGCTACTTCCTCTCCTCTGTACACACTCCTTCCCTGTCCTTCTCCAGGCTCTCTTCGTAAGATCTCACTCGCCTAGGACCTCCTCCCATCTAGGACTTCACATGCCTAGGATCTCACATGCCTAGGATCTCACACGACTAGGACCTCACCCGCCTAGGATCTCACCCGCCTGGGATCTCACACGCCTAGGACCTCACACGCCTGGGACCTCACGGCCTGGGATCCGCCTGGGACCTCACGACTAGGATCTCACGCCTAGGACCTCACACGCATAGGATCTCACACGCCTGGGACCTCATACTCCTAGGACCTCACCCGCCTAGGACCTCACCCGCCTAGGACCTCACCCGCCTAGGACCAAACCCGCCGAGAACCTCATACTTCTAGGATCTGAAGGACATTCGTAGGACTGAGAAACACACTCCTAGGATTAAACCAAAGACTCCTAGAACCTAAGACTCCTGGGATGGGGCCGGTAAGCTCGTAAGGCTAGCCAAGGATCCCACACACGTAGGATTGAGACAGAGGAGAGTGTAGGGACGAGACACTGAGAGAAGGAGGATGTTATCGCCGCTAGAAGGTGGAGGAGGTATAGGATTGGGGACTGTGGTATGGGAGCTGTGGGATGGGGGGACTGTGGGAGGAGGGCTGTAGGGGGATGGGGGGCTGTGGAGGGGGCGTATGGGAGGGGCTGTGGGATGGGGGGGCTGTGGGAGGGGGAGCTGTGGGATGGGGGGCTGTAGGAGGGGGCTGTGGGAGGGCTGTGGGATGGGGGCTGTGGGAGGGGCTGTGGGAGGGCTGTAGGATGGGGGGCTGTGGGAGGAGGGCTGTAGGATGGGGGCTGTAGGATGGGGGCTGTAGGAGGGGGCTGTGGGATGGGGGGCTGTAGGATGGGGGGCTGTAGGAGGGGGCTAACAGGAGGGGGGCTGTGGGAGGGGGGCTGTGGGGAGGGGGCTGTGGGATGGGGCTGTGGGATGGGGGCTGTGGGAGGGGGCTGTGGGAGGGCGCTGTGGGAGGGGGGGCTGTGGGAGGGGCTGTAGGAGGGGGGGCTGTAGGATGGTCTAGATGAAGGATGGTGGGTTGGGAGTAGTGTGTGTGTGTGTGTGTGTGTGTCGCCCTGGAGGTTAAAGGAAACAAAACCTCACATTATTTACGACTCGTGAGGTCCACCACCACCACTATCAAGGGGTCGTACTGTCCGGGTCTCCCATATCAAAAGGTCGTACGGGAGAGTTGGGTTAATGTACCGTCGATTCGTCATACGGTCTGGAGCTGATGATTCATGAGGTCGTAATATCGAGGGTCGTAAGCTACAGTGGTCGTATAAACTGGCAACTTGTAGGCTACAGCGGTCGTAGACGTGAGGACTGAACAAGATCCATGGCTCTTGAAGATCCTCGACAGATGGCTGGATCGTGAGGCCTCCTGATGATGTGACCTGAGCCGGGTGTTGGATCCTCAGGACTGGCGCGATCCACAGCGGCTCCTGTGAGCTGAGAGGACCTACCTGGCTGCTCTCTCCTGTACCTGGGACGCTGGAGGACGCGTAATATAATACCATCACTCCTACCAGGTGTGAGTTGTACTAGAAGGAGGGGGTGAAGAGAGGAGGGTGAGGGAGGAGGGATGGGAAGGGTGAGGGAAGAGTTAGGGGATAAGGAAGGGTGAGGGGAGAGAATAATGGAAAGGTAAGGGGAGAGAGGAGGGGTGAGGGTAAGGGGTGAGAGGAAGGGTGAGGTGAGGGGAGAGAAAAATGGAAAAGTAAGGGGTGAGGGGAGAGGGGAAGAGCGAGGTGAGGGGAGAGGAAGGGTGAGGGTAAGGTGTGAGGGGAGAGAGGAAGGGTGAGGGTGCTCGGGACTATATGGCCAGGTGAGGTAATACCTGTGGTCGTGTTACTCACCTGGGACACTTAATCATAATTTATACAACACACAAGGCTTTAGTTTAGCCCATAACCCACACCTGTACAACCTAACCTAACCTAACCCAACCAACACGTGTACAACCTAACCTAACCAAACCAACACGTGTACAACCTAACCTAACCCAACCAACATGTGTACAACCAAACCTAACCAAACCAACACGTGTACAACCTAACCTAACCTAACCAACACGTGTACAACCTAACCTAACCCAACCAACACGTGTACAACCAAACCTAACCTAACCCAACCAACACGTGTACAACCAAACCTAACCCAACCAACACGTGTACAACCTAACCTAACCTAACCAGTCAGAACCAAAGGGAAATAACTTTTTTTTTATTCCCAGTAAACACAAAGGACATGACCCAGGTACCAGAAAAAAAAGAAGAGTTCCTACGATGATCAAAGGTAAACTTAACCTTTATTCTCTACCCTAATACTGGGGGGAAAAAACCACTATTGGTCAAAGGAAAGTGAAATTAAACTACGGGGAACCTAAATGTTGACAGACAGATAGACAGACAGACAAACACAGACAGACAGACAGACAGACACAGATAGATAGACAGACACAGATAGATAGACAGACAGACAGACAGACAGACAGACACCCGTCCTCTTGACCTTGGATACGAGTTTCTAAAAGCTGATGGTCTTGTATCTCGACAGAATCCTTCCCTGACATTTCCACCTACAGAAAAACGTCAAGAAAATATAAATAAATAATCCTCACCTAACCTAACCTAACCTATGGCTGTGAACTGACGTGAATAGAATGATAAAGAACACACACACACACACACACACACACACACACACACACACACACACACACACACACACACCATCACCACTACCACCAGATTAATTTAAATTATTGTTCGGACAGTGAATAACTTTGTAACGCTTAACTAGGGGAAACACTAATCCAAGTAACGCTAGTCCTGTTAACGCTTGGCTCTGATAACGCTGACTCCAGTAACGCTATCATTGGTAACGACCCTGATAACACTGACTCAAATAACGTAAACCTTGGTAACATTTGGCTCAGGTAACGCTAACGATGGTAATGGTGGTTGGAGATAACGCTGACCACACGAGACCCGCCGCCGTCAACAATCAATAATGGTGGTAATTTGATAAAGTGTTACAAGGGGTGACAGTGTAGGCGCCCCCCTCCCCCTGCCTTATCATAATCTTAATTTCCTCCCCTACACACCGTCCTCTCCCCGCCCTACCCTTATCTCATAGCTCCCCGTTCATAGGGCGTGGGGAGCGTGACTGGTAAGGGGTGCATTTGAGGGCGTGGGAGATGGGCGTGAACTAAGCCGATCATAGGGTGACGCTCCTAAATTCTCGTCAAGAGCAGAGTGAGTGAGTGAGTGTGAGTGTGTGTGTGTGTGTGTGTGTGTGTGTGTGTGTGTGTGTGTGTGTCGTGAAGGAGGAGTGATGTATCTATAATTATATCAACGTGATTCCCTTTCAATCCTTATCCTCTCAGCGTCTCTCCCAGCGTCTCTCCCAGCGTCTCTCCCAGCGTCTCTCTCAGCGT